TTAAACATTTTGACACCATTTCCCGATTCGACCAGCCTCTGTTGCCCGAGTCGTCGTCACCCGCTGCCCTACGTGGCCCGAAGAAGGAATTTCGACTGCGTCTAGACTGAATCCGTCTCAATAATCGACCGATAGAGGCCGTCGCTTCCATGCACCTGACCGCATCTCTCATCATCAACGTCGCCCAGGAAAAGAGCATACAAGTAGTACACAACACCACAAAACAGTTCGCCTCAAGGGAGAATTCCAAGCACGTCTGCTGCCCAGTAGGCCCCGACCATCAAACGCGTTGGACAGCCATGGCGAGAACCTGGACCTGACCGGATCTACGAGGCACCACCAACCTCAGCCGTGAAGCTGGGACTCACGGCGGCTGCCATCCACCATCGCTCATTTCCAGCCGCGCATTCCACGAGGGGGTCCCCTGTCCACAGCCGCCGTCTCCTCAATCTTGCCAGGCCACCACATCTAGACTTGAGGTTTGCAACCAAGAACCCTACCACAACCGCATCAGTCTTTGCGGAGGCACCACTTCAACCTGCAGCATAATCTTCATTCAAAGTCAAATACATGGAGAGGAGGAGAGGGGATTCGTCAGTGCCCCGGATCCAGCGGCCCGGCGGCAACCTCAAAAATTTTCCTCGCTCGTAAAAGGTGAGACTGCGCTCCTTGGTTCCTTGCAGAAGGGGTGCTCCTTCCAGACATTGACAGGTCTCGGCCGCGGCTCACTTGGCTGCCACTGTGCATGCGCGAGAGTTCGATATTTGGCCCAAAGTGGTCTCATTCAACTGGGTCTCATTTCCTCCGTGCCGGTACGCCGCTCAGCCCGGAGCGCTCCATGTCTCCCGCTTCCGCATGCCCAACTGCCACGCGGTGTTGACGACCGTCCTGTGTTATCCTATCGACCACCACGTCCACAACGCCCTCCCAGCTCGGTGGGCTAGCGCCCCGCCGGTGCGAGGTCTATTGCTTTGGCTTTCGCCATGCTTTCTGCTAGTCGACGGGTACCTGCGCCTCCCTACATAACGCCCACATACCGCCGCATGGGAAATGGTCAAGCTCCAGACGGCGCGGTGGCGGCTCGTACAACGGCGCCACAGATCGAATGAATACAAGCCAGAAGAAAATTGTGCAACGGGCGGGCGCTTTCGGCCTGGCTGGCCATTAAGTGATATCATGACCCCCTCCGCGTTAGCATCTCCATGCCAACACTATGGACGCAGCGGAGAGTAATTGACCAAGCCAGGCATACGCGTGAACATGTGACTGGATGCATCAATGAAGTCCCGGCGTGCAAAACCGTCCATCAAATGATAGCACATACAACGAGTTGGGCAGTCTGAGGTTGCTTCAGCGACAACCTCTCTGCGATACGAAGCCTGGTAGCGTGTCGCACAACCTAGACCGCACTTGGTTGCAATGGGACCATGGTAGCACAGAGGACAAGACACCAACACAATGAGCAAAGTAGCCTAGATCCACCACCACCTGCTCAGAGCCTCAGACCACGCTCTCCTCCAGGGTCGCACAGCATGTAGTCTTCACTCTAGTGACTCTGAGACAAGTCTCAGTATTCCGCCATGCTCGTAAAAAAGACTCTGCTTCCAATTCTCGCACTTGGTGTTGGCAAGCACCCCAGCAGGGCAGCTTTATGGTCGTTACGAAGCTCGATAAATTGTACCTTGTGGTGCGTAGACTTGGAGATGGAAGCAGTCGTGTTGGCAACGCCAGTGAAATGCTCGTTTCTTGCTAGACGCTGCCTTTTAACAGGCGGGTTTGCTCTTATGCTCGATGCCCCCAAGACTTAGGCTGCCGTATTTAGGAAAACTACAATCATAGCTAGGAGCTGTTTGACATACTAGGAGCTCTATCAATAGTCCAACTCTCTCTATTTCTCTATCTCTATTTCTATCTCCATCTCTCTCTCCGTCTCTATCTCTATCCCTGTCTTCGTCTCTGCCTCCGTCTCTTTTTCTCTTGATGTAACCTAAACACGCTTGAATTGCACCTTTTATTCGTGAGTGAATGAGACGAGAATGGGGATGAGTGCTCAGGAAAGATGCTTAGTGGGGTATGTCACGTCGATCTATTCAGTGCAAAACATATCATCTTCAAGTCCTCTGTCTATTACGTTCCTAACAAAATGATGGCTATCACAGCCCAACGTTGAAACGGCTGGTTTCCTGGAGATCCTTCAAAGCCTCGATATTGGCGCCAAGGAAGGCAGCCCGCATCTTCTCACTATCGCCTTCCTCCAGTATAGCCACTTCCATCAAGTCACCAACTCCGTGTTCCCAGAGCTCACTGATTGGAAGGTCGAGTGGCATCTTTGGGAATCGCAGGAAGAATGCAACGCCAAACTCGGAAAGCATAATGTTCCTGACCCGGTGTGTAAGGCAATAACAAATCCCCTGCTTCGAGAGATTGTTCGATCCCACATCGAGCTTGATCGCCTCCGGCGTATTGACGTGCGAACCCTCCGCTATCATGCGGTCAGGGACGGCGACCGGGAGGGGTAGAGGTGCCGCTGCTGCCTTGATGTTGTTGACGCGGGAGGCCAGAACACCTGTTCGCTTCATCTCAACGCAAGTGAGGCATACAGATTTCGCCTCGAGACTCGCTTGTTTGAGATCAATCTTTCGGGCGTCTGCGGGATCCAGGACAACAATCATGTCCGGGCGAACCTCGACGTACGACCTGGGAACAGGGCTTACTCGGACACTGTGTAGCGACGAGATCCGTTTCCTCTTGGTCGGTCTGGTGCTGCGGTTGCTCGTCGTCGTCTTGTTGGCGTCGCTCTTGGCCTTGCCGCTGGCGGCGGCGGCGGGATCAGGCTGGGGTTTGGGGATGGACGGGAGGCGTAGTTGGTGCTCCCACGTGCATTTGACGTCGTGGGTGTCCGATTCTATGAAATGGGCGAGGCACTCCAGAGTCGGGTGAGCAATATGGGTGTGAAAAAGCACCACGTTGTCTTGCTCGGCGTTCCTCTGTAAGACGCTGCCACCCTCGGCGACCAGGTGCTGGTTGATACCCGATCCCAGGACCTTGTCCTTGTAATCCTCTGCAAGCTGAGCGTACTTGGATATGTCTACCAACTTGATGTTCTGCGGTATGGTCCGAGTTGTTGCTGTGTAGCTGATGGATGTTGGAGTAGTCTTTCGAGCTCCAACGGAATAGCGGGGGAGACGGTGCTCATGCGAGAAAACGGCATCTGTCGTGCTGAGCGGTGCGAATGACATTGTGAATAAGGGTTTGAATGAACGTTTGGGACCAGTCGTAGTAGGGTTGGGATGACGAATTACAAAGTCAGATAAAATGACAATGAGAGACTGGCGGGAAGGTGAAGTTGTCGAGAGGGTCAACTTGGCGAGAAGATGACGGTGGCGAGATGTAGTTAGCGAGAGAATGAAGTTAGCGAGAGGGTGAACTTGGCAAGAAGGCCTGCGGGAAGGTTCGATAGAGTAATGATGAAAAAGCGGCAAGTACTGGCAACGGGGAGATTTTGACGCCGGGCAGCCTCCTTCCTATCTTGAGAACGGAAATCCCTACTGTTTGGCCATGCCATGAATTCCGTGTTCGTAGCCTAAGGGTTTACAAGACAGATACTCAAAGTAAATCGCAACACTCCCCTCAAACGCAGTCAAATTGGAAGAAAAAGGAATGCAAGTGAACGTCACCATCAGAGACCCCGTTGTGAGAATAACAAACAGAACGAAAAACAGTAAATAAAAGCGAATAATCTCACCAAATCCACCAAGACCGGTGAGACTTGTCGGCTGGCATCCGTGTCTGCGCATACCCTTTACAGACACGAAAGTCAAGGAGAATTTCAAATCCAGCCTTGAGATGGGCTCAGGCACTTGATGCATCACGATTGGCTGGGCGGCAGACAAAGAGACGATGAGCCGCGCAGGACGAGGTATGCCGGGACGCGTCTCGCCTATTCCACAGGTCGCAGATGTTTGCCATCCACCACGCACACGTGTGTTAGTCTTGTCCATCACCAGTCAACGGTAGACATCAGCGTTTTCTGGGCCGGCGATTTATGAAGCCTAGGGTGACCGAGTTGAAGCGGGTCCGGTATTCACGATCCTGTCTCCTACGAAGTGTCTCTGCTAGGCAAGACCATCCTATTCGTTGGTACAAACGAGAGACACGAGTAGTCTAATAACGCACGACAAGAGACAGGCAGCAGACGGGTTGCAGCGGGAGAGTGCCGAATAGAGTGTTTTCCATGTTCCTTGCCGCTTTGGTGAAGATACCACATAGATGGCATGGCAATATGCTTGCCACGCTTTCTCATACTCAAAGATCTCCCCAAATCATTCTTTGCTCGACAATTCAACTACTCAATGGGGGGCTCAGTCTTCGTCACTGTTTTCATCGTCAATTTATGTTGCGCTCTTCTAAGTCGGTCTCGGCTTAATTTTCATCATTATTTGTGTCGTTGGACTCAATATCTACACTTACACTGGTTATTCCGTGTAGAGTACGCATGGGGTCATGAAATATATGGGGAGCATGCTCTACTTTACACATTTGTTCCGGAAAGATTCCTTCAGCATCCAACTCGACATGTCGAAACACAATAGCTGGCAATTGATCCAGTGGGCCATTGATATCCACAAGATCAACGATAAGCCAAGGCAGCGCTCTTACACAGCGGCCGGTAGCAATTCCGTAAGAGTCACTGCAACGCAATGCAATATGGGCCTCCAGAGCAATCACGGCATCTTAACGTATCGCGTCACGTGCGCATGGTCCTTCCAGCATTGAAGGCTGCGAGCCGTGGTACCGCCATCACCGGCGCCAGCGCTGTCACTTGCCTGGCCGCATCCTGACGAGATGAGACTTGCGCACATGTAGACAAAACACCACTGCGGTCTGTCTGAGCTTGTCTGGCTCCGCCGCTGCCTTATGTCGTGGTAACAAATGACATTGTCGGCCGTGCTTTGACAAACAGACCAAGGTACCTTGATGGGTTTGAGATGACAAAGTGGGGTAACGACCAAGAGATCTGGTAACTGAATTGATCTCCTCTTCCTCTGTGTAACTTTCATGGCTGGCTGCATCTGGGCGGACGGTAAGGTAACGTGCGAAAACCTTTTAAAGTTGCAGTATATACGTGGGAATACAGCGGCACTCAGAGTCCGGCATATCCACACGGCCGATATTTTTGGAGAGCTAAAACAAGCCACCAAAGAGATATCTCCGTTTGCTTCGCCCAGATCCTCAATTAGGGCCATCCGCACCCGCACCCAGTCTCTCATCCTGATATTCCAGCTCAACTCCCACTCTATCTTTCTCTTCTGACCACGCCTCTTCTACCTATCTTTACTTCACTCCATCTCAGCCTCTATCCGTTCCTCATCCTTACTGTCGATACTGCCCATCATGGTCATGTCCGCCTTTGACAGATTCATCGACTCGCAGTTCGCCAAATATGATCCAGGAAAAACGTTGACGCTCTATCCACACAAGGTCGTCGATCCATATGGCCTGGATCTTTACGACAATCCACCGAAATTGGCTGTTCCAGAGGGCCATCTCCGAGACTTCGATCCCAAGGCTCACAGCCCCAAGACACACGGCTCTGTTGAAGTCATCGAGCTTCTATCAGGTGGCACCGCCGGCGGCGCTCAAGTCCTGCTGTGCAAAGTTTTGAAACAACCCGCTGAATACAGACCGTCCCACGCCCCATTCCCGGAGCCGCAAAGATACGTCGTTGCCAAAATCTTCGATCCCATGTTCTTCCCGGGCGACGATGAAGTCCTCTCTGCGCTGGTTGGGAACGATGTTCTCGCCGAGCAGCTCCTGAGCCGCGAGTCCGGAGCGTACGAGTACCTCTACGACAGGGGAAAGCCCAAACCCCCTCCATCCGATTCCAAGGCAAAGGGCAAGAAGCAGGAAACCAGGAACACAATTACCGGTCACCCCAATCTCATCCCCCAGTACTATGGAACCTGGGCCATCAGGTTTAGGATGGGCAACGGGAAGTACAGGGAGGCCGGCCTGGTTCTGATGGAGTACATTGAGGGCCACGCCATCGAAGAGCTTTGCGATAGGGACGAAGACAGCGGCTATCTCCTCCCGGTCACCGAAGAGGTCATCTTCCACGATGTCGCCGGCTCGGCAAGCACGACCCAGGCCAGGAAGGTAAAGTTGACCGAGCCTTTCCGGCTGAAGGCCTTTCGCGAGATACTCCACCAACTCGTGGTCCACATGCACATCAGCGTCGAACACGCCGACTTCATCCCGGCAAACGTCATCATCACCCTTCGCAACCACGGGGGAATCAATGGTGTACGCGAGCTAGATGAACCGCGGCCCGTCTTGCTCGATCTCACCCTCACAAAGGTATGGCGCAAGACAAAAGATGCGCAAGGCCCCGGCAGGGAGCGGCACTGTCTCGAGTGGCTTCCCAACCCCCCTCACCCAATGGAACGAGCATCTCCCCAGGGCATGGAGCTGTACATTGGCTGGTTCGACGCCGAGTGGTCGAAAGAGCGGTTCGACGAGTGGTTGGTGCAAGAGTTTGGCCCTCTGGAGGAAGGCTCGGAGGAAGGCTCGACTGGAAAGTACTCTACGTTTGCCACTCTGGATAACTTAAAGGCCGATTATTTCGAGAAGAGAGATGAGGAGGCGAAGGAGGAGATGAGAGCTCAGCAGGACGAGGCAATCAGGCTCATGGCTTCTGCGAGTCGCAAGGCCAGCGACGAGCGCGCGCAAGACTCGCAAAGCCGAGCAAACCCTCCCTCCACAAGCCGTCGACAGCAGAACCGATCCGACGAGTCCACCTCGACGGAGAGTGGCGAAGAAGGCATCCCACGCAGCTTGTACCGGAAGCTCCAGGAAGCGAAACTCGCAGCCAGCGAGAGCAGTTTTGGCGGCTCGCCGTCCCCTCGGTTGACACCCCGCTCGGCGCAGAAGTCGGTGGAGAACGAGGAGGAGATGGATACCATTGAGGAGGAATAGGAAAGTTACGCAAGTACCTTGGGTTGGGAATAGAGGACTTGGATTGGGTCGGATAAGATTAGATTGGGTGGCCATGTTCATGTTGTCTCCAGATTGACCAAGTTATTGAGACGTGCGCTTCGTTTTCCTCAGATTTTGAGAAAAGACCAAAAAAAAGTTTAGTAACCAATGCATCATTTTTTCCATCACCGTTCAAGCAAAGTGCATTCACCAAACGCGTGGCCATCACGTCTACCTCCCCACCGACGCCACACACAACCTCGGCCTGGTTCGAGCGTGCTACCAGTTGGCTCGACGTCTCAGCACCATCAAATGTAACAGGGTACAGTCCCGACAAGACCAGAGGCATGTTATCGAGCCAGTGTCCTGATACAGAAAGGCATCATATCTCCAGCGTCTACATCGACCCTGGTCCCGCCACCACACCACATACAGTCGCACGCAGGAAAGAAACGAAAGCTTCTGAAAGATTGGAATTACTTCTAAGCGAGTAGGTACCCCGAGTACCCACGGAGGGGAGTCTATTCTCTCAACCCTGCCCATTAAACCAAAGGCTACATACAGAACCCCGACATTTCTCATCCATCTAACCCCCTTTTTGTTTCGACGTCGACGAACGTCTTTGGAAAATCTCTCTTGTGAACGATTTAAAACGCCAAATGATGCAGGAAAAAGAAAGACATGGACCAGTGTCATGATCCGGATATCTCTAGAGGCAACGCAATGAGGCCTCAGCAAGCAAATGCAGCACTCGCGACAAAGCAAGTAAACGACTTCTCACGCATACCCATCCCGCGTCTAGCTGTTCTTCTCCAGAGACTGGAGGTTGACCAGCTCGGCATAGCGGCCATTCTTCTTCATGAGCTCGGCGTGCGTACCTTGCTCGACAATGCGACCCTGGTCAAAGACGTAGATGATGTCGGCCTTTTGGATGGTGCTGAGACGATGCGCGACGGCAATCGTTGTGCGGCCCTTGGCGGCCTTGTCGAGGGCAGCCTGGACGACGTGCTCGGACTCGGAGTCGAGGGCAGATGTGGCCTCGTCGAGCAGCAGGATCTTGGGATCACGGATGAGGGCGCGGGCAATGGCGATACGCTGCTTCTGACCTCCAGACAAAAGAGCGCCCTTGCTTCCAACAACCGTGTTGAAACCCTCAGGCATCGAGACGATAAAGTCGTAAATGTTGGCCTCGCGACAGGCAAACTCAATGGCCTCGTCGGTAACCTCTGTGTGGGCACCGAGCAGAATGTTCTCCCTGATTGTGCCCTGGTACAGGGTGGGCTCCTGGCTGACGAGGGCGATAAATGAGCGGTACTCGTTGACGTTGAGCGTGCTAATCTCCTTGCCGTCGACAAAGATGGCGCCGGAAAGCGGATCGTAGAAGCGCTCGAGAAGAGTAATCGTGGTAGACTTGCCGCAGCCTGACGCTCCAACGAGCGCGACGTACTGGCCGGGACGAATAACGAGGTTGAGTCCGCGGAGGACGGGCTGCTCGGGTCTGGTCGGGTACCGGAAGTGTACGTCGCGGAACTCGAGGGTGCCGTCGACGGCGTCGAGAGGAGCGCCCTCCTTAGACCAGGTGTCGATGGTCGGCTTGCGGTCAAAGAGAATCTTGAGCTCGTTGGCGGCCTGGTGAGCCTTGCCCATATCGGGAGCAAACGAGAAGATGGAACCAGCCGACTGCGCACCAAAGATGACGGCAGAGAAGCAGACAAAGAACTGGAACATGTTGTACTCTCCATTGGCGATGAGCGTGCCACCGTACCAGAAACCGAGGGCAAAGGCCAGGAACATGAAGGACTGGGACGCGGCGAACAGCAAGCTTGACTTGAGGATCGAGATGAGACTGGCGCGCTGTTGGACGGCCAGGGAAGTCTGGTACTGGCGGATGACGTCGTCCTCGCGCGTGAGTGAGGCGACGGTGCGGATTGCCGAGATGGCCTCGGATGCGTAACTCGCCGAATTGGAGTAGGCAGTCTTAGAGCGGCGCTGGAAGTGGGCGAGCATCCAGAAACGGAAGAAACCACAGCCAATGAGGATCGGGATGGTTGCAGTACAGACGAGGGCGAGCTTCCAGCCAATGGCGATGGCGAGCGCCAGCGCAGCAACCAAGGTTGTCGTGACCATGAGCAGGGTGCCGAGGGTGACGCCGCTGAGACCGGCCAAGTGGGTGGTCTCGGTGGACAGGAACGAGGTGAGCGCGCCGGCCGTGTTAGAGTCCTTGTCGAAAAAGGCAACGTCTTGGCGAAGCATGGTGCGGAAGGCCTGGTCACGGACGCGGTGGATGAGGCGCTCAGAGCACTTTGCAAAGGCGATTCCCTGGATGACAAAGGCAATGAATTGGACGCCGGCGAGCATCAGGTACATGGCGCTCCAAAAGTCGGAATCCTTCTTCATCTGGTGAAGGGTCTCCTGGGTAGTCTGCGGGGTGATGGGGACCGACAGGGTCATAATCTGCTTGGCGAAGAAGACGGCCTGGGTAGGGTTGCCGCCACCGCAGATGATGGAGAAGAAGAGACCAATGAGCATGAGCTTCCACTCCTTTTGGTTGAACGAGGCGATGAGCTTGATGAGGGTCCACAGACTGTACTTGACCTCACCGTCGTCCTTTCGGTTCTGGAGGGCGATGCTGGACAAAGACTTGGAGGTGCTTGTTCGCTGCAGCTTGGCGGCCATGTTGTCTTCCGGGTCGGCAACGTAGCCCTTGTCGGAGGCGCGCGAGGCTTTGCGGATGATCTCGTCGTCTTCGGCGTCAATGGCTTCTTCCTCCTCGGCATCCATCTCGTTGACGCGGGCAATGTTCTGGGCCGTGACGAGGTTGTAGTAGGCGCCCTGCTTGGCAAGGAGGTCGTTGTGCGTACCCTGCTCGACGATGCGGCCGCTTGACATGACGACAATGTTGTGGGCATCCTTGATGGTCGACAGACGGTGGGCAATGGTGATGGTGGTTCGGCCCTGGGAGGCGACTTCGAGAGCGGCTTGCACAACACCCTCGGACTTGGTGTCAAGGGCAGAGGTGGCCTCGTCGAGAAGCAGAACTAGGGGGGATTAGCAAAGGGCACTATTAAGAGGTGCAGGGCCGACGTACTCTTGGGGTTGGACACGACCGCTCGCGCAATGGCGATGCGCTGCTTTTGACCACCGGAAAGGAGGAAACCGCGCTCGCCGACGTTGGTGAGGTAGCCTTCGGGGAGACCGCTAATGAAATCGTGAGCGTTGGCCATTCTCGCCGCCTCCTCGATGAGCTTCTTTTGCTCCTCCTCAGACGCGTTCTCATGCTGGGTACCAATGAGACCGTATCGGATGTTCTGGTAGATGGTGGTCGCGAACAGAGTGGGTTCCTGGCTGACGAGCGCCATTTGCTGACGCAGCCATCGCAGGTTCAGGGTGCTAATGTCGTGGCCGTCCAGAAACACTGATCCGCGGACGGGGTCGTAGAACCGCTCGACGAGACCGACAATGGTACTCTTGCCGGAGCCCGAGGCACCGACTAACGCCGTGGTCTTACCCGCAGGAATGGTCAAACTCACGTCGTCCATGACCGTGACCTCTGGGCGAGACGGGTAGATGTGCTTGATGTTCTCGAGGCGGATTGTGCCTTCGACCTGCTCAAGCTTGGTACCGTCGTCGCGGGAGGGGTCCAGGGGAGACACGCGGTCAATGGTGTTGTAGATCTTGGCGGCGGCCGCAATGGCAGTGGTGAAGGCCTGGACGTTGGGGGCGACGTTTCCGAGGTTAAAGGCACCAATCATGATGGACATCATGATGATGAGAATGTTGGACAGCTTGATGCCGTCGTCGATGAGGAACTTGCTTCCCTGCCAGAACGCGAGACCGTAGTTGAGGTACAGAATGGTCATCATCAGCGCAACCATGACGCCAATGGCGGACTTGACCTTGTAGCCAAAGAACTCGGCTTTTGTGAGGTGCGCATCGTACTGCTTGGCGAGGCGGTCCTGGGTGCCAAAGGCGACGGCGTTGCGGATGGAGCTAATGACCTCGTCGGCCAGACTGCCTCCGTGGGCGTACGACTCAATGGACTGCTTGCTGTACTTGACGATAAAGGTTGAGCCGCCTCCCATGCTCAGGAGAAGGGCGACAACAGTAGACAAGAGGATCAGGGTGAGCTTCCAGTAGTGGACGAAACCAATGACAAAGGCCGAGATGAAGGTGGCGATGGCGGCAAGCGTGAGGCCGACCTTTTCCGAGATGCCGTCCTGGATCAGATTGGTGTCGGCAGTGATTCGGGTCGTCACCTCGCCAGCGCCCAATTTGTCGAAGAAACCAATGTTCTGGCGCATGCAGCTCTGGAGGTAGTGCTCGCGAATCTTTGCGCTAATGTGCTCTCCCGTGTCTAATTTTGGTCTTGCGTCAGATTTAGACTCGCATCCTCCCGCCGGGGCGCAAACTTACAGATGAATCCAACCGTGGTGATGTACTGGCACACGAAAACGCCAATGGCGAGGTAAACAAAGTACAAGACGAGGCTCGCCATCTCGCTGTTAAAATCGTCCTTGGACGTCGTGCCGGCAAAGTAGTTCTGGAAAGTGCCCTGCAGGTTACCAAAGATGACCGTCATGAGCGGCAGTGCGGCGCCGACCACGATGGAGGTGAAGGCGGAGAGGGATAGGATGAGCAGGTCGTTGGTCGAAGAATACCGGTACAGGGTCATGATGCCGGCCTTGACTTCGGGAGTGAAGACCTGACGCTTGAGGATCACGGCCTCATCGGCGGGCAGGTGCTCGTAGGGATCATCGCTGGGGTCTTTTGGTGCGATAGCCTTGGAGTCGGCCTTTTCGAGATTGCTGGTGATATTGGGCGTCTGGTTCTTGGGCTGGATCGATGCATCCACTTCGGTCGAGTCGCCATGGGACGATGCCCTGTCCGAGTGGCCGTTGCTGGCTGTCTTCTCAGCCACCTCTGTTGACTTTTCGCTGGCCCCGACGGGCTTCTCATTTTCGACAGACATGCTGGCGCCGTGGCTCCTGACAGAGCTGTGCGCAGTGTGTGGAGAAAGCTTGTTGCGCCGGTATGCGCTGTGCGCAAGCTGGTTGGGATGCGATTGTCGAGTTCCTATAGGTAAGGTGTCGTCGCTGGTGTGGCTTGTATACCACGGCTCGAATAGGTTGGTCGGACGACGAGATCCCAATCGTTCTCTCTCCAAATTACAATCAATCCTATGATATATAGACAGACCAGTGAATGGAAGAGCAAAGAAAATCGACCACGTCGAAAGCCAAGAAAGATTTTGCGGCGATCGGGGTCGGGATCGTCGTTGTCGCGCGCAGACAGGCGAAAGGGCGGGAAAACAACACCTGCAGTCGATTCGAAGTGCCTCCCTCGACAATTAATAAAAAAAGACGAGGACGATTAGAGAAAAGAGGCGTGTTCCCACTCGGGTTGCAGGCCAGGATAGGGATTAGTGGAATTGTCGCAAAGGCGTGGACTGGAGAATTAAAAAAAAAAAAAAAAGTACCCAGGACCTTGGCGAGGGACGGACTGGGGTGTGCACATTTGATATAGATGGACGGCGGGCCTAGTAGTAGGACATGACCAGGGTGGCACGCCGCAAGAGAGAAGGAGAAGGAGACGACTACTAGCACAAGGAAGAAATGGGGGCAACTGGCTGAGACGAGATTCGACGGAATGCAGCCGACCCGTTCTGACCTCGCTCTTGTCAACTTCCCGAACTGTGACTAGCTCGGTTCCTTGCGTACCTCTACCATGCCCGAACCGCGCCGCCTACATGCGTGTTTATCGTCCATCTCATGTTGACTCACTGGCCCGCCGCTCATCATCAGACGAGAGACACGAACGGGGAGGGACTTTGGTACGGTTGGCTATGAAAAGTGCTCTTGTTTCGTGCGATCCCTTCCTTGTTGGGCACGCCGATATGGATACCGGTGACAGTCATCCGGGAACGATGATGCCCGTCTATCTTGGGTGCTTAGATTCTATAGGGCTTTCTCACCACCTACATTAGTTGGCGTGTACAAGGTACTCGTACCGGCATACTCACATTGGCCTATTCGGTCTTGCTAGCTGGATTCGCAGAGCATCGAGTGCGAAGTGCGAGCTGTGGGAGCCGCAGCACGTTACAACGCACTGATGATTGCAGCCAAGGTTGTGATACCGCAGCTTGCGCAGTAAACTAACGCTGCACATCGGGCCTGCCCCGGGGTTCAAGAGCCAAAGAGGACCGGGATTCAACGGTTGGCGCACACTGCTCAATGGGTAGGTACTTCATTGTTCAGTAGACTCCAGGTCCATAGTAGTGTTGGGACCTGGATACGTTGTCGGCAGGCCTCAGCTCTCTCCTTCCCCTTCTCCGCTCCTTCTTTCCTGTCTTGGTATACTTTTGCCCAAGCCGCCTTCCGCGAGATATTCTGGGGAAAGAGCCTTGGAGACGGGAGGCAAGTACCAAAAGTACAAAGTACATGTGCGCACCTTAGTCATTCGCAGAAACAGGCAAGCACTGCGTCCTCTTGTGAATCGACGCTACCGTTTTGTGGACCTCCTACTCACCTTCCAAAGTTCCTCCTCTCTTCAGAGTCGAATGATTACGATTGATCCTTCGTTTCTCGCTTCATCCACGTCCCCGATACGCCTCGAGATAACGTGTAATGGACCAAAGTCAAAATTCAGCTCTTACCTAGCCCCAACGCTTCTGACCAGCAACCGATCATGTTTCGTCCGTATACTCGACCAACAATCCCAGTACGCCGGTCCAGCAATCGAGAAAGAACACAGTCTCGGAGAAGCCGTGCATTGGACTTCCGACCTGCACGTCATGTTCGGATCATCCACCGGCCAAAACAATAGGGAGCCAGGCAGCTGCTGTCGAGGTAAGCACCGGCAAGCAGGTACATGCGACAGTGTACTTCGTTCCCGTCTTAACCCGTTCTGTCTCACCGTAGTCCAAGTTAGGCCCGTGTCTCGCTGCCGCCCCCGGTCGAGTCAGCCGGCGTGGTAGTATGTACCCAGCCCAGCGCTTCGCTTAACGACCTCCGCCGCTACGCTTTCCCCCCCGCCAGCAATACTATTCTGCGGCTTTGCCCCTCCCTCGGGTTTCTTCAGCAGTCCGAATTCCGATCCAGTTCATTTCCTATCCACGGTTCCTTGAACAGCTTCCAGAACATTACAGCGTACCCATCCCTTGCGGCTGCTCTTTCAGCTTGGAGGGTTGTCGCTACGTGTTACAGCGAGTGTACCCCGCCATACGCACATTCGCACCCAACGAATAATCTACCGATACACTAGTTGGATGACAATGGCAATCACTCTCATCTTTCACCCAGCCTGACGGTGACAAGGACATGGCGAGCCGGGTCCCTATCCCACCTGTGTCCGGACCAGTCCTGAGGCGCCGGCGATAACGTCCTCTCGGGCCCCGATCCTGTGGGCCTGCGGAAGGGAGTGCGAGCGATTCAATAGGGGCCCAGCGGATAAACCGTAAACGGTCCTTGGCCTTGGGCATCGGGTATCCGTGCCGGGCTCTTTCGTTCCGGCGGCGGGACGATTACGACGCTTCATTACTCTGCCATGGGTGCAGATGTCGTTGAAAACGAGATACGAAATGCAAGTGCTTACAATCTAAAAGGTACAGAGTTCAGGCTGCGATTCGTGATGGCTGCCAGGAATGCGCTTCGGCCAATGAGTTCTCTCCCAGTGTTGTTGACGGGACGATCTGGACTCGGCCCAAAGTTCCCTGGTTCCCAGGAGCGGTGTACTGCCGCATTCACCTATTGAACAGGTCGTCTCAAACACTTGTTGGTTTAGACGAGCTGCTGGATTTCAGACTTTGAAGGGTCCCCGCAGCCCTTTCACGCTCCCACAACAGGGGTGAGCCTTGGACGACATGCAGATGCTGTCATTGATCGAGGTCTCATGCCAGCACAAAGGCACGCGTAACGTTTGAATACGCGGGCTCGGATATGGTCGATTAGAGATGGCAATTGATTATTAGGCAGCCTACTTACCTGGACGACAGACAATGCCAGTCGGATCGCGGAGTGCACTGTCGCCGCCGTAGCTAATGTACTTATGATAGGGGCCTCACGCTAAACCGAATCGCGGGCGTAACGCAGCTACTCTCTCCCGTACGGCGGGTATTTTGTCGCCGTCCCCCGATCGACCAGCCAAGCCGTATTTGCTCGCATTCTCTTAGCAGATGCGAGCCGTCGCTTGTTTCAAAACCCCACTATCCTACGGCGGTCAGCAATCGTCGGTCTCCCGGGACATCACAAGACACCGCTAAATTCTCCGAGCCCTACCCTGAACGGATGACTTCCACAGACGTACCGCAACCCCGGGACGGATCAAACGTGGAGTGACAGTGACACGTGTGCCATCTACATCTTGAGGCGCGTGGAAGCCCGGTGCCACACAGCCAATTGAGCCTCAAGCACCGCTGTGATGAATTCCTCCGGTTTGCCTTCGCCGGCGCCGTCGATCATCCGCAGGTAGTCTTCCCGCTTCAAGTCCCGGATGACGACAGGAACGTAGCCCTGACGCGCCAGGTAATCCTGCTTGATCATGCGACTGGTTCGCCCGTTGCCATCGGGAAACGGATGAACGAGAACAAAGTAGGCTGTCATCTGACAAGCCAGTATCAGCGGGTGCAGCGGCCTCTCTCGATGCTGCAGGTCCCGCCATTGGAAGAAGCTCTCCATGCAGACCGGAACCTCTTGCGGGTACGAAAAGATTCGAAGACGATTGCTGCGTACGCTGATGGGCAGATTACGGTACTCTCCCAGCGGGACTCGCGATCCCCATACCAAGTTGCCGCCAGCCCTTTTTGAGTCTGAGTCTGTTCTCCAGGTGTCATAGGCTATTTCGGAGTCTGTATTAACGACGGACACCACGGCAAGGTCTCGTACTTCGGCTTCGCATAGTCCCGCCGTACCAGCCTTGGCCACCGCGTTCTCTGCGATCCATTGAGATGCGATGATGTGGTTCTGCAGCTCATTCGTTACCGACTCGGTGACGCCTGCGCCTCTTGCAGCAATCCACGCCGTCACAAGTGTGGCAAGCTCGCGGCTAGGCGTGGAAGCAAGGTCAGCTTATTCAAGACCACCTCGCAGGCTTTCGGTAATGCGGATCGCGTCTGTCACTGAAAGATGGTTGTTTTCAATCATTACGGACTGCTGGGCGTACTTGGCAATCAGGGTTTTCCCTAGGTCCGTTACTGGCAGCCTCCCTCTGAGGTGATCGATTTGATATAGCAGTCCCGTCAGTTTCCGCTGCACATCGACGTACCCTATCTTGAGGCTGTTGCCGGGCATAAAGTAATCTTCCCATACCCGTCCGGAGCGCGCCAGCTTTTCGTACTCGAAAGACCCTTTCTGTAAGCGGGCGGCTGGTTTGTAAATCTTTTTGAGCAGGGCAAGGCGCGCCTGCTGCATGCTGGATAGAATCCGATTAGACATGGCGAGGTACTCAGTAGGTTTAGCAGCTTTGCAATGCTCGGATTTTTGTAAGTTGGGGGCGCTGATCAAGGGTGGTCCTGGTAGGTTGCATGGTGATTCATCCGGTGTGTATGTGTGTCCACAGGTCAATCTTTTCCCAAGTAATGGACGCAGAGGTGAACCTGAGCATGCGAACCTTGTGGCATCCGAAGCGCGCAGGGTGTTGGCACTTGACATGGAAAACCATGGGTCAGCGCTCTCAGCTCCAGAGTCTCTTGCCGATGGATCGCCGTCGTCGGTGCCGACTTGGCGAGATCCAGGCACCGCACGAAGTCTGTCGGACACGACTGAGGACGTGCTTCTTATTTCTGGTGTAGTCGGGAGTGTCTCTTGTCGGTCCCCTTGATCATGCCATACCTAGAAAACCGTTCAACTACAAGGGCGAGAATCGGTATACAGTAGTAGAGCTGGACCGACGTCAAATGCCCACCTCAACATCGTCCTCGGACCACGTCCAAACAGGCGGGACGTCCACAGCCAAAGAAAGGCTCTGCGGAGGCCCAACGAGGCAGGAGGGGGGAAGGTAACAGAGCACGGCCCCTCTGTCCCTTTTCGACGTGCGTATGTTGGAGGGCAAGCGAAAAGACATAACGGGTAGTGTAAATAGTCCGACTTGCATTATCTGATCTGATTTCGATCAAAAGGTTTCTTGCCTTGATGGACCAATTCAAATGCTGAAAGGATTTCCCATGTTGCACAGGTCCGGCTGACGCGTTCCCACCTGTCGTCGTTTGAGGGTACCGCCCAAAAAGACAGCCGTGATGTCTGGTGGGAACCGTATGGATCTGGGACACGATGGAAAAGACGAGCTGAACTGCATTTGGCGCCCGAAACCGAGCCGAACGCGAGACGGTCTCCATGTCGGGACCTTGGTCTGGTTCTGTTCGTTTCACTGGCGGACTGACTGAATGGAGTACGGAGTGCATGTGGGGAGCTCTGGGGCAGAACGGCATTGACCCAGGTGAATCCGCAGGTTCCCCTTATTTCTTCTTATATTGGAACGAAGCGTCTCCTGCGGTGATAATTTGTCTCGTAGAACAGAGCCTCTGTCCTTGATGCTGTGGCCTTTTACGTGGAATCGGTGGTATCTTTGCTGTCCCTCCGTCCGTAGCGCGAGCTTCATGCTGATCTGCCCATATGCTTCATACCAAAGTATTACCAAAGTATCTTAGTGTATCCGTAGAAATCAGAAGCATGTGGGGCCGTACCTTGCAGCTTAATATTCCCAAGCCCAAGCGTGCCAGCCCATCACGATGGGCAGTGATACTGTAAAATGAGATTAACTTCCCTTGGTCGGAGATTCGCTAGTCGCCATCATGCAAAATGAGCCTCGAGGCTCTGATTCACAGTCGGCAAAGGTAGAACCATGGACAAGCACCGACCCTGGAGGAGGGACGTGGATGGTTGTAATTAACCTTGAAAGTTTGTCTCTGACTGAGTGCTCTGCTCTTGCGGCATACCTCAAAAGTAAGTCGTGCTAATCAATTTACCCGAAGGAGAAAAAAAAAAAAAGACTGTGTCACCCGTCTTGGCGATGCACAACGAAGCCTGCCAAGCTTTTGCTTCTTTTTCCTTCTGCGAGATGGGGAAGCCCAGAAAAAGCTCGGACACATCAACTTGACCCGACAGCCCAGGACAGAAAAGGTGGAGAATAATCAGACCAAGATAGATTGGACACGTGATTGAGAGGCAAAAAGGTCTGTGGGAGCGCCACAATACACACTCGCCACTACTGCGCCACCCTCTTCACCGAAAAGCACCCAATCCCACATCACCGCTGTAAGGCTCGTCACTTGGCGGTCCAGTGAGGTTCACTTGAGCCTCACCTCATACCTGTCCTCTTCGGAGATAGCATCTTGCTGCCTGGTTTTATTAAAAACCCAGACATCAGTCTTCACTCATTGATAGCCAAACCTTCTCATCACCAGGATCGCCGCGAAGCACTTTGTCTACCTCCCATCGCGGCGAATCACGCAACCCGCCACCACACGGGACAAACTTGAAAGCGACGTCACATTACAAAAAGCAACAATATCAACACCCGCACCACTCACTCCATATCTCACATCACCTACAAGAAAATGCATCTCTCACACTCCCTCGCCCTGAGCATGGCAGGCCTCGCCGCCGCCGCCGCCGCCGCCAAACCCCCCTCCAAAGACGCAATCCTCCTCTCCAAAGTCCAATCCCTCACCCTCCGCGGCGCCGGCGCAAAAACAACCCACCGCCGTGTCTCCGCCGCGCCCCAGCTCAAGTGCCTCTCCCACCCGTCCCTCTGCAACCTCCACGCCATCGATGTCATGCGCTGCACCAACAACGGCGCCGGCTACGGCCTCGAAGATATCCAGTGGTCCTGCGTCGCCTCCTTGCCCGAGGAGCTCAAGCTCGGATCCACGGACGTCGTGTGCGAAGGCTACGCCAACGCCGACGACCCTTACGTCCTTCGTGGTAGCTGCGGCGTCGAGTACCGTCTCGCTCTCACGGACAAGGGCGAGAGGCGGTATCCGAACCTGGGCAAGGGACGCGGTGGCGGTGGCGGTGGTGGCAGCAGCCATGGTGACGATGACGACGGGACGGACTGGGGAGCATACGTCTTTGGTTTCATCTTCTTCTCTGTCCTGGCTTGGATTCTTTACTCGGCGTGCGTGGCCGGCACTCAAAATCGAAGGGCTGGTGGAACCGGTCGGCGCCGTGGAGGCGGCGGCGGTGGTGGGCCCGGAGGAGGTGGCGGAGGCGGATGGAACCCCGGCTTTGGTCAAGACGACGATCCTCCGCCGCCATACCCGGGCACCAAACCATCCAACTCAAGCAACCAGCAGGGATGGCGCCCTGGCTTCTGGACTGGCGCGGGGGCTGGCGGTGCCGCGGGCTACGGCGCGGGTTACTACCAAGGCAGAAACAGCGCGCGGAACCAGCAAAACTACGGCTCGGGATGGGGCGGTGACACGACCAGCGGTTCCGGGTCCTATGGGGCTGGCCCGTCGAGGTCAACCAGCTCCTCTTCAAGCTCGACTCGTCACGAAAGCACCGGATTTGGGTCGACCAGCAGGAGATAGTAAACTTGAAAGTAGGCATAGAGTAATTTGAACATCATGTGAGCCAGCTCGACTCTAGGTCTATCCTGTCCTCCACGTGGTCTCGTACATGTTCCTCTCGCCCGCCTCCTACAACTAACTAGTTTGTGATCAGCCCCAAAGGGGGGTGGGGGACACGACATTATGTACATTTTTCGAGGTCCAGGCCGTCTTCCATACACGTAAAAGTACAACGATCCATCATTTCCAATCGCGAGCGTCTTAAAGGTATCATACCATGAAATCCCCTGCCACGGAAGCAAACTCCAAGCTGCGCAAACGTCTTTGAAGCATATCAAAACAGTAGCCGACACGTGAGCCGAGTCGGGTAGTAAGCCGCACACGAGCGGCTAGTGGTGAACAGACATGACGTCCAGCCGGTCAAAGGCCCTCGAGCAATTGGGGCACTTGCGCATTCGGTTGCTGATCCGGTCATCTACGCACTGGTGACAGAAAAGATGCCCACATGTCTTCAAGGCCGTATCTTTGAAGTTGTTGCGGCACACTGTGCAAAGTGCAAAGGTCTGCATACAGTTAGCTTTCATCCAGTGTCACTCTCGGCATGAGGGGGGACTCACTCTAAGCATCTCTTCTTCTTCCGACGAGTTGCTCAACGCCTTGCGTTTCCATTCATCCTTTTCCTTTTGCATCATGTCGGCACGGACTTTGAGGCGCTCAACGTCCGCCTCCTGGGTTGTGGTGCGTTCCCTGGCCGCAGCCATGGCCGCGTCGCGCGACTTGACCAAGCTGGTCAACTCACCAATCTGGTTCTTGTAGGAATCGACCCGGCGCGCCGCGTCGGAACTGCTCGACTCCATCTTCTTGTGCTCTGCAGCCATTGCCGCGTTGGCCTGCTTCAGGTCCGAGAGCTGCTTCTCCAGGTTGCTAATGAGTATCCGGTTTTGCGCCTCCACCTCCTTGAGCTGCGCAACAATCTCGGAACTCTTGCGGTTTTGGCTTCGGAGCACGCCAAGTTCGCGGTCTCTCATGTCGGCATCCTTCTTCACCGCAAAGTACTTTTGGTCGACCTTTTGCTTCTCGGCGAGTGCGGCTGCTGCGCGGTCCTCGAGAACCGTGTACTCCATCACCTTCTTTTGTGCGAGACCCATCGATCGCTTGTACGCCTGCTGGAGAGCGGGCAGCTCCTTGTTGATCGACTCGAAATCTTGCTGCAGCTTCTTGTACTTTGAAATAAGTTCATCCGCGGGCATGCTCTCCAATTCGGGATCGGGGTCCGCCATCGGCTGGTCTTCGGGCTTCAGACGCTGCAGCTCCAATTCCAAGGATGCAATTCTGTCCTCCTGGGCACCCGTGAGCTCCTTGAGGTGCTGCAGCGCCTGCTTCTCCTCCTTTTCTCTGGTTTCTAGCATGTTGGCCTTGGCGTACCACTCGTCTCGGGCGGCGCGGATCCGTGTGAGGTCTGCGTCGCGCTCCTCGACTTGGCGCTCCAGGTCCGATGTTATCGTCTGCGCCTCGTCGTGAAGCTTGGTTCGGAAGGCCGTTCGCTCCGAGTGCAGCTTTTCGGCCTCTTCTCGCAACTGCTTGTTCGTGGCCTCCAAGTGGTTGACGCGCTTGATCAAGTCTTCGTTTTGGTTTTTGAACTGCTTGAACACGTCGGTCCGGATGAAATCTTCGTCGGTGAGGCCTTCGCGTCGTGCCTTTAGCGCCGAGTTCTCCTCTTGTAGGGTCTTGATATCGGCTTGCGCAGATTCCAGCTGCTCCTTCTGCTTATTGACGACCGCCGACGCCTCTTCAAACTTGAGCAGTGCCTCGGCAGCATTACCGTTTGCCTCGGCGGCATCCTGTCCGTTCTCCCCCGCGGCGATTGTCGGCTTGGCGCTGGCGATGAACTGCTGCTCGAGCTTCTGGACTTGCGCGCTCTTTAATCTGTCCATGCGCTTCTCGGCCTTGAAGAAGCGAAGGCTAGCCTTGTTGAGGTCTTCCGATAGCTGCTCATTCTCTTGCTGTGCACGGTCCAACTTGACCAGATACTCCTTTTGCTGCGCAAGCAGGCTGTTGACCCGAGTCTCGAGGTCAGCAATATTTGGCGTAATTTCTCCCCTGGCGTTTGCGATGCGATTGAGCACAGCTTCGGCTCGCTTCTTAATATCAGAGGCTGCCTCGTCAAGATGCCTTTGGAACTCGTCGTTATCTTTAAAGTGCGTGCTGGTAATGTAGGGAGGGTCTGGACTGTCAGTCTCATATCGGGGTGGATGCGACAAGGGAACTCACTTGTTGGGCCGGAGGGTGGTGTTGCAGGGTCCACGAGCTGCTCCATCTCCTCTAGAACCTAGTGAGGGGGGTCAGCCATGCTACCGAGTCAAGGGATCAATCAAACTGACCTGTTTCCACCATGCTTCAATGATGCGGATATGATCCTCGCGATATACGATATTTTTTTGCAATTGCTCGACGCGTGTCTCAAACTCTTGCTTTTCCCTTTTTGTTTCTAAAAGTTGCCGATAAATGGCGCCCTTTTGGTAATTCTGAACTCATCATCAGCTCGCGCCCTCTCCATGTATTCTTTTCGCACCAGGCGATGAGAAGGCGTGTGGGATAGTCGGATGCGTGGACAGGGAGACGGAGAACCGTCAGGCAGCCTCGTCGCCCTCGACGGCGGATCGAAAGGCCATTCCAGGCCAGTCGATCGTAGTCCGCCAGTGTTGAGCGTGGCTGGGGGCAGTCGATGATCGAGATGTCGCGTCGCCATTGATGGCACAAGGGAATCGCGTAGGGGTCCATTGATCGTTGAGAAAACTTGATGTGTTGGGGAATACGTGTCTCGTGACACTTACCTCGATCCAGTGTTCCTCGGCATGGTCGCCACTATCGCCCTTGGACTTGCTTCCATTGACGGATTGATGTCGCTTGCTTGGAGGAGCGAGGTCCTCGGCGGTGCTGATGGGGGGTCTCTTCCTGTCCTCCATCTTGGCCAAGGTGGACGGACGCGGAGAGGCAGTCGGGGCTGAGGTCGCTACAGGCATGAGAAAGGTAGGAAGATGCAGAGACGATGTATGCGTCCGAGGGTCGGGCAAGGGCGATAAAATGCGCTGCGTGGGACAGCTGAACGGGTTTAGGGATTGATCCGAGCCATGCGAGAGTCGACAGAGTCGTGCTGTGCTGATTCGGCGCGGACGATGGGTGAGGAATACTTGGGGCAAGGAGGTTGAATTTTCGAGGTTGAACGCCGACGCTTCACGTTCAAATCAAGCCAGCCGGTCCACTCCCCAAACAGGACTAGCGCTGCGCTGGCCATCCATGGTCTTATCAACCAGTAAGGCGCCCCGCGCGCTGTACAGCACAGCGCACATACCGGCTAATTGTCGGGTCCCGCATCTACTTATCAGAAGCACATTTTCTCTGCATCCCACCCACTTCAGTCACTGTCCCGCCGCGATTGGCAAAAAGTCTGGCTCGCAAGTGACAATCCACCAGATCCAAATTTCAACCGCAGCTCCGACCATGAGGATATCGCCGTGCCGATAAAAAAAAAAGAAAAAAGACCAGACACAGAACAGACACAATCGCCATCATGAGTTCCATGTTCAAGAAAAAGGCCGGCATGGCTTTCAAGCCAAAAATGCCCATGGCCCGTCCTCGAGCGCCAGGAGCAGGAGCAGCGTCGCAGGCATCAAGGGCCCCGTCGACGACTGCCGCCGCAACCGCAGCAGAGACTAGCACGAGCGAACCTACCGAGAAAGCAGCGCCGTCGACCGCCGAGAAACGAGCCGATTCGAGAGATGCGCCCGGAGATGTGCCTACGAGTACCCCGCCATCGACCGAGCCGAGAACGACCAAGGCTGCTACACCCCAGACACAACCCACGACGAGCAAGTCTTCTGCGAAGCCTGCTTCCACAGTGGAAATAGCTGGAACAAATCAGTCAACAGAGCCGCCAACGCAAAGCCGTCCGCAGCCACCGTCCGTGACGCCCGCTCCTGCTGTGGAGGCTATCGTCAACGAGGCATCGATACCAGCCCAACTCCAGACTCCGCCCGCTACTGCTCCCTCGGCCGACGTAGTGCCTTCTACAGAGGGCGCTTCTCAATCAGTGACAACGGACGGCACGTCAAAAACCTATACCGTCAAGAAGGCACCTGCCAAGCGACCACGGAAACGAGCAACCCAGACGAGCGAGACTGCCGAAGAAGGCGAGGACAGTGCTGCGACACCGAAACCCAAAAGACAGCGAAAGCAGCCGGCAGATGGGGAAGCCGCGCCGAAACGACCGCCTCGACCGAGAAAGAAGAAGACCACGGAGGAGGAGGAAGGTGAAACGGATGCGGCTACTACTGCCAACAAGCCAGCACGACCTCGGCAAGCTCGCTCAGTGACGCCAGAAGATGCGGAGGACCAGGAGGCCGACCTCACCACACTGACCATGGGCGATTTGACGCGAGACTTGCGCATCGGCAAGAAGTTCAGCAGACACGACGAGCTCCTCCAGCGCCACCGCGAGAAGCAGGCAAAGTCCAGAGAGAGACTCAAGGCGAAGAGGAACGGCTCGGAGGATGTGGCTTCAGAGAGCGGGACACCCGCACCGACGAGCGACAAGGCCACGCCGGCAGCCCCTCCAACGCCGAAACCGACCAGCATGGCCTCCACTGGGCCTCAATTCCAAATCATTGACGGACAGATTGTGGTGGACCAGAACTCCCTCAGCCTCGACCGACACGCCATCGCCGCCGCGGCCGCGGAGGGCGAGGACATGCTCGAGATTGAAGAAAACGACTTCACGACGCTGACGACGCAGAACAGCTACCGCACTGGCTCCAAGCTCAAGGGACCCAACGTATGGAACGAGGAGGAGACGGAGCTGTTTTACCGCGGGCTGCGCATGTTCGGCACCGACTTCCAGATGATCAGCGGCATGTTCCCCGGCAAGAACCGGCGGCACGTCAAGATGAAGTTCAACCGCGAGGAGCGCCACAGGCCCGCGCGCATCGACGCCATCCTCGTCGGCAAGAAGGAGCTACAGATCGACCTAGAGGAGTACAAGACGTGGACAAAGGCCGAGTACGAGCCCGTCGAGGCCATCATGGCGGCGCAGCGCGCGCAGCAGGCCGAGTTCGACGCCGAGCAGGCCAAGATCAAGGCGGCCAAAGACGCCATCAATGCCAGGAACCTCGCTTCGCTGCAGGACAAGCGCGAGGGCGGAGGGGATGCCGAAGGCGAGGGTTCCGCAGCGGGTGCTGCAGGCGGCGGCGGTAGTGGTGGTGGTGGAAGCGGGGGCGTCAAGCCCAAGAGGCAGCAGGCCAACGTCGGTCCTCAGATCACGGTTGACGCGGACGGCATGATTACCATTGACGAGACGAACATGGACCCCGATGCGGGACGCAAGAAGAGGGGCACGGGCAAGACGAAGAAGAAGGCCGTGGAGTACAACATGCGCGGCGAGATTATTCACTGAGCACACGGAGGTGTATACATCACACACAATGGGGGCCGGGGGCCAAGGTTCATGGCAGTGTGGGCAGAGGGGCGAACGGCTGGCTTTCCCCCGGTCCTACCAGACAGATACCCCTTTTTTTTTGCTATTACACCAGGGGCCCTATGGGCAATGAGGCGGCGTTTGGTATTCGAGTGGTTCTTTGTTTTTTTATCGCAGCGAAAGGAACTCGAGATTCAAGGCAAAAGGAACGGTTAGGGAACCAAGATAACATCGTCGTCTTAGAAAGCAAATCCCAAAAAATTCAAATCACTTTATAAAAACATTGACGAAAGTATCCTGCTTGTACTGTAATAGTATACCTTTCAGATTGTATCTGATTGTATCTGATTGTATCTGATTGTATCTGTAAACACCATTCACGACAAACTCAACCCCATCATCGTAAACTACCCACACCTCCCTCCCCTATCAAAATCAAAACCCCTAAACCACATACACACCCCTCTTCCTTATACCACCGCCCAAGGCGCCGGCCACAACGAAAAGAGTAGAAAGCACAACGGCATAAACAAGGATGCAGCAACAGTGTGGGCAGACGTGAAGAAACGTCAAAAATTTGTATCAAAAATTATACCTCGTACGGTTCCCACAAAGGAGCCCCACACGGCGAGGGGCAGCAGAAGTGTGTGTGCAATGCAGGTCCCCCTCCTCCACGACCCGGTGCTCTTGATCTCCGGGAGTCGTCAGGTAGGTAAGTATACAGAAGAAACAAAAACTCACATGGAAAAGCGAGGAATATGCGTTTTTTTATAGTCTCCATCTGACGTGAGGCCAAATGCCAAAAGGCTCTTGGACCAACCCTGAGGACCCCCTGAGGCCATCTCACTTTGGCCTCACTCGTATAACCAAATGCGCCACAAACCGACAGATGGCACTGAAGAGTTGAATTACCCGGTACTACCTGGCCTGGCTACCTAGGACTGACGCCACGCTCTCTTCCAAGCCAGAACAGGAACAATCCTGGTCAAATACAAGCATGAGCAGTTGTAACCGCGAGTAGCTTGCGACCTCCGTATCCGTCCAGGTCATTTCACGCATATTTTACTCAGCCTGCTTGCCTCCACGCCAGCTCTACCGAAAAAGAATTGCATCATTTACTTCCACGCGGCCACATGCCCGCCTTGCTGATGGGGATACCGTCCTTCCGGACCACGTATCCTGAGGTCTTTTTCTCACGTTAATGTCGTCGAGCCAACCCCGTCCGGTAATTCCTGAGCCCTGCGTTTCTGTCATAGATTGTGTCGTCATGCGGTCGTTGCGAGTCGGGCTTAGTTCTGGGGCGCATCGTCGTCATCGGGCTGATCGAAGAGGAAGTTTGCAGCAAGCTCCTCGTTCTTGTCGCAGGCAAAGTAGGCCTGGATGGCAGCGTCGCGATCGAAGCCGAGGCGGCATAACTAAAGTAGTCAGCATCGTGATTCACGTACAATGTCAAGAGAAACTCACCCGCTCAATGGCGTCGCGCTCCTCCTCGGTGACCTGGATGGCCTGCGCACCGGGGGGCAGAGGTACATCATCGTCAACCTCCTCGCCGAGAAGCTGCAGGAACTGGTCGGGGTTGTTGGCGATCAGCTGAGCAAGCTGGGGGTTGCCGGCACCGAGCTGCTGAAGAATAGGCTCCAGCATCTGGGGCTGTTGCTGGACGACCTGGCGGAGCTGCTGGAACTGAGCATTGTTTCTGAGGAAGTCCAGGTTGCCGAAGCCACCCTGGGCGGCGGCGGCGGCAGCGGCGGCGGCGGCGGCCTGGGTGTTGCCGGCGGAGGCGCCACGTCCACCACCACCGCCACCACCACCACGCGACTGAGCAGCGAGATCGAAGAGGTTGACGTTGCCGTCATCGCCGCCGGCGGGCGCACCACCAGAAGGCTGGGCGGGCGCCGCAGCAGCGGCCTGTCGCTGTGCTTGCTCCTCCTGGACGTCTTCGGGGATGCCCTAGTTCTTGTCAGCTTCTAGCGAACCAAGTCCTCGAGGTATCGGGTCTCACGCTGAGCAGGTACTCGACGGCTCTGTCGGGGTTGTAAAAGGCGGCACGCATGGCGGCGTCAATCTGGGCGCGCTCGAAACCCATGGCCTCCATGTTGGCAATCACCTCCTGGCGCTGAGCGCCCATGGCCATTGACGGGTCGTTGTTGCCGGCATCGCCACCGGTGGATCTAGCGGCCGGAGTCGGCGTAGCGGGAGCCGCAGCCGGGGCAGCAGCCTGGGCAGCGGGAGCGGGAGGAGCAGCGGGCGTGGCGGCGACACGCTGAGCGGGCGTGGCGGGGACGGGGGGCGCAGACGAGGACTCGGCGGCGGGAGCGGGCTTGGGTGCCTTGGGCTGTTGGATCGTCAGTAGGGTAAACTCGAGCAAGCGCGGGTATTGTCGTCGGGCTACGGACCTTGTTGACCATGCAGACGACGAAGCCCTTCTCCTCAATCTTGTAGGATTCAACCGTGTCGTCGTCCTTGAGGATCTTGCCTGTTGTAGCTGTCAGCCGGAGCCATCGTCGTCCTCCAGGTGGCGGGGCTGCCTACCAGAGTAGATAAGCTTCTGGTCCTTGGGGTCCCATCCCTTCTCTCCAGAAATCTTCTGCTTGACAACCGAGATCTGTTTATCTCGTCAGTTTTCGAGGTCGGACATCGCAAGGCAGCCGTGGAGGGTCATCTCGGAGGCGGAAGTGGGGGTGAGGACGCACAGGGTCGGTGGGCTCAACGTCAAGCGTGAACTTTTGTTGCTTCAAGTCCTGGAAAACAGCCAATATGATTAGTATAAGCTCGAGGTTGAAGCTATGGTGAGGCGCAATGCCATCATGGCCCCGGTGGTGGCGGTGGAGGCTCGAAGCTGGGCATACCTTGAATGTGACCTTCATCTTGGCTAGCTTCGGGGCAGCAAAAGGCTGCAATCACAAGGGAAGAGCTGAGGGTGCTGATTTGATGGGGAAAATAAAGGAATAGGTTGAGAGTGGTGATGGAGAATGGGTGCGCTGGGAATCGATGCGCAGTAGCAAGTGGGTGAAGGATAGAGAAACCCGTCACCTTGGTGTTTTGTTGTGTGCACGGGAAAGACTGGTAAGGTACAGAATTAATGGAGATGACGAAGGTGAGTGGTGACCTGAAGTCAGTGTTTGGTTGCTGCGCAGTGGGGGAAGGCGGCGGGCAGGTGGTTCTAGTTGGTTGGCTGAGGTACCTTCCACAACTCCCACGTCCTTTCTCTGCAGTCCCGTCCACAGTGGTCGGTGGTCGGTGGTCGGTGGTCAGTGGTGGTGAACAAGCAATGGGCCTTAGTCTCGCCAGCTTCTCCACTCCAGGTCACCACCATGTACCAGCCAGGCAAGAGCACCAGCAACGGCCTAGCGCATCGGTCTCTGTCTGGGTCGGGTGGCTTCTCTCCTAGCCAAACTCTGTATTTTTCTCACACAAGTGGCGGTGCAACTTGATCTCAAGGTGCCGTGGCACTGCGCGGGTAACTAACTGGCTGGTGGTTTGCTTAGGCATCCAAGATGAGGTAAGAAGGATATGAGGGGAGCAACCTCTCAAAGAACCTGCCCTGGTCTAGAACACCCCCAAAAAGCCATTGGATGACAGGCAACGGGGACATGGCAATCGAGCTTCCTTTTCGTTTTGCCTCGCGCTCCCATTCATTCGCCCATGTACGGATACATGCCCAGCAGCCAGGCCATCTGCATAGTCTGCAGAAATTTTCGGTGACAGCTACCTCACCTTATGGAAAGCGGGGTGTTGCACCAGCTGCTGGGGTTCGCCTCCTAGCCACGTCGACAATGGACACCGACCGTTGAAGAGCAACACACACACAAAGACTTGATCAAAGGTGGCCCAACCTATAGGCCTAGATCCCGTACTTACTCGCCTCGCATGATACTACAGGCCATTCCCTGAGCTGCCCTGCCTGCCGGCTCGAATAAAGTGTTTCTCTCCCCGCCTGGATACTTGCAGGAACGCCTGGGACTATCGTCGAGGTCCGTGCCTAGCCCGGGCCGGGTCCGCAACGGGAAGGCCATGCGTCGCGGCGCGGGATCATCCATATTCCGACTTGTCCCTTTCCAGCATCATTTCATCCAACGTTCAGATACATCTCTCATTGACCACTCGTCAAAAAGACACACCAATTTCGTTACTCGTTAAATTGTTTTGAGCTGCTGTAGCCATCTATCCTAGCTTGTCGGCGGCTTCTCTGGCCGCTCGATGTTGGATCTCCTTTTTCCTACTCTGCCTCCCAGGACAACGCCGCGCTGGACAAAGAAAACAAAATCCCTCAAATATGGTATCACCGCCCGAGTTAGTACTCCCTTGTTGTCGTCGAGGACAAAATAGCAATTAGACATTCATGAAGACCACGCCGGGTCAGGTATTCTCCTTGGACACACCTCTTGTTGCTGTTGGTGCGTCCCTCCTTTATCATGATTGCTCTTGCTCGGCGTCCCCGTCGATGCGGAGCTTCCGACTTTGGTACCCGTTCAGGCTCGTCCTGGCTCCGGCGGTTAGGATCCACTCCGGGATCGGGGGCGTCATCTGTCTCTCACCGAGTATTTCGTCCTCCTCTTGGGGTGATGGGAGCTCCTCCTTCTCTTCTTTCACGGGCGGCTGGCCATTGGGAAAAAAGTTGTCATAACTGCTGGTGCGGCTGAGGGGGCTAGGCCCTCCGGGCAGACTGCCGCTGCGCATGCGGCGGACGCTGTGACGGTCCGAAATGACGCGGCCGGCGTCTGGCGCCGCGGTGACGACCGTGCCGGGGGTTACCATCGGCGGCGGATCTGGGGAGTCAGACCGGAATAGGGGGTGAATGTGAGATTCGCTGGCCGAGCCCTGCATGGTGAAGGCGGGCTCGGGACGACGCAGAGAGCACTCGCTAGCAGAAGTCTGCAGCGTAAAGGTAGGCTCAGGGTTGCGGAGGGTGCCCATGGGGCTGGGGCTGTAGCTGCGGCTCCGGCGACGAGTGCGCGGAGCTTCCAGGTCCAAGTCCAACGGCGTGCCAGGGCTGGGACTGCGGCTGGTGGTAGGGCTGGCAGGGATTGTTTCCAAAAACCTGCCGGGGGGAGAGGACGTGCCGAGGACGGTCATGCGGCTCTGCATGTCGACCGAAGACGTGTCCCACGAGTCAAAGGACGAATCCTCGTTGACGCTGCTCGAACGCGAGCGGTAGTGGTTCGAGTCAATCGACTCTGCCCGACGCTTCTCCCGCAGAGGAAGCAGGCGAGTTCGGGAGGAGATGGGTCGGACGACGTTGGACAACGAGGAACGGAACGAGCTCAGTGTGTCGGTGGCGGAACGGCCGCTGCTCGACTGAGGCGGACTTTGCGAGCCCATGGAGGTGGACCGGCTCCTGCCGTCAAAGGTGGGCGAAGTACGGTGGTAGGGAACCGACTTGATGTGGACGTTGGGAGATCTC